CGGTTCAGTGTCTTTGGCAACTCAAAGATTAATCATATCTCCCAAAATAATCAATGTTTGTCCTCAGTATTTTAGTAGTCCAGCGTTTTTGGTTTATCGGGTCATTCCTGAATCCTCATTACCACATTGCGTTGTTTTACAAGTTATGATCAGATTGCTTGACGGAGAAATCCAAGCCTGGAGCAGAACGGAGGAGGAGAGTCACTTCACTGCATCAACAGTCTTGATCGCTCATCTTTTATGCTGTGGGATTCTTTTATTCCTGTAAAAGCCAGCATCATCGAAGGTCAGATTCACACACTGCTGTAAAAGTCCGCTATGTTGCAGTGACCACAAATCCCAGCTGGACTCGAACCCGAGTGAGATAACCTTTCAGACAGAGACACTATACCACTGCTGGATCGAAAAACCTCATCAAAAGCATAAAAATAGAAACCCCTTCCCTTTCTCGTCACCCTTCAGGATTGCGGGTATCTGCGCAGAAACATCGAGAACACGAGCACCAGGGTCCTAACAATCAGAGACACGCCATTAGATACAGAACCCAAGCACAGTGTGGTTCATTGTGTCCGTCTGTTTCCATTCTCTCTAGTGCAGACTCATCTGAAGTTTGCATTAGAGATATACCGATAATTGAAGAAGTGATTTATGACATATAGGCCTATTTTATTGCATGACTGCTTTTTATAGTCTTTCTTAAGGCAATTGAACAGGCTTAGGTAAACTATATGTATGTATGTAAAAGGTGTTTATTTATTTGGGATTTTGATTCATTTTAATTGCAAAATTACTTTGCATAAATATAATGGAATTTTAAAAATATAGTACTATTTTTAATTATACTTATGAAATGTATTATTATTATTATTTCAGTAATAGTAATTTTATTTTGTATTATTTTATTTTACAAATATACAGACATTAGTTGAATCTAAAAAAAATGTATATTATTATTATTATTATTATTTCAGTAATACTAATTTTATTTTGTATTTTTGTTTTACAAATATACAGAAATTAGTTGAATCTAAAAAAATTATATTATTATTATGTATTGCATCGTAATGCATATTCTTGTATTATCATAGTTTATTTGCTTATTTATATATTTATTTTCCATTAATCTGTAATAAAAAATCATTTCTTCATTATTACCATTTAACTGAACACAAAAATCTGAATCTGAATTAGTATTCGTCATAAGCAAAACAATTTTGGTTGACTGTATCTATGACTATATAGATGACAGTTTTAGTTGTCTGTATCTAAACTGCCCTCCGGTCTGTTGCAGATAAGTTTATTTATTTATTTATTTTTTTTAAAGCCATGTCGTTCTCTTCTAAGGGTTTTTCCTTTCCTCATCAATATCTGTGATTTAGTTACTTTATTTTTTTCTTAGCATAGCTAAGGCTCAGCAGCTCTTTAATAATTGCAGAGTTTGTGGAGTCAGTGGAGGTTTTACTTCGCTGCTTTTGCCTCTTCTATCTTCTACTGATTCCCCATTGACTTTGTACATATTCATGTGTGCAGGGAGACGATTTCACAAGACTCAGAAGTGAACTTTTGAAGTGTCCTGTGGAGGTTTTTGTCTGTATTTTTGCCCCACTTTTTTGTTTTACACATGTCAGTCCAATTCATGGCTGAGCAAAAGGATATTTTCAGGCTTTACCATTTACACCAATGGTTCTGACCGGTTTTACCAAGGAGCTTACAATGTTTACCTGAAGTTTTTTCCTACTTCTCATTCACATTTTATTTTTTCCTAACTTAACATGCGCAAGAAAGCATTTGTCATGGTCTTTTTGTGCCAGTTTCTGACAGATCCCTCTATAAACCACAAAAGGCTTGAGTCATCATCTGGAAACATCTGGTGCCCCGTTGTCACTGGAACCGTTTAAGCATTTGAGAGGAGGCTATCCATAACACCCCCAACCACCCCAAGACATCAGCCATTTATCTTGCCCTGAACCGGATATTTACCAATGTGATGCAAGATATTTCTCTGCTACGCCGCCTGTGCGCCGTTATGAAATTGTTTAGATGGTGCATGAAGCCTATGCTAAGCAATAAGTGGGTCATTATTGTTTGGTTGCCCAGAGACGGTGCAGAGATGCAAATATTTCACCTCATAAACCATCAGACGAGACTACAGACGTCTTGCTGTGGTCAGACTGTATAACGCTACTTGGCAAAGGCTAAATGAGACTTGCGGTTTCATGCCACAGGTTGCACAGTGCCAGATTGCAGTATCTGAAATATTAATGCGGTATAATGCAAACTCTTCCAAGTACAATTGCTGCTCTAAGGTATGTGTAGGTTGTCCAAACACCCAGAATCTCTCTTTTTTTCTAGTTTTAAATAGTTTAAAACTGTGGTTCTGAAACTTTTTAGGCCTAATACCATTTTCTAATTAAATTAGCACTCTGCACCAAAAAGAAAACATAAAAAAGAAAATGTAATCATTTTGTTGGAATGTACTGCTTTAAATGCCACTAGGCAATGTTTTGACTCAAATGGATGTTTAAAAAAAAAAATCACCAAGAAAAGTTTTTTTTTTTTAGTTGTCAGTTTTTCGTTACTACTATTTGTGTCTTTTAAAATGCATTGATCTTGCCATATATGCTGCTTTGGCGATTAAAAATAAAATAGAATAAAATATATTAAATTTACACTGTAAATATGGGCTGTGGATGATGAGTCTTAAATACATGAATGTATATTAAAATTGGAATGAGACATAAGGTAAACATAGAGAAATATGTGAGTATACAATAAAAATTTGTTAAAATAACGAATTAAATGTATAATTTGTATGTTTATAATAATAATAATAATATAATTTAAATATTTTATTTTATATTTAAAGATTATTTTATATATTAAGAATAGGCTATATTTTAAAATATACTGTAAAGGTAAAGTAAAAATATTTTATTACTATTATTATTATTTTTTTTTATATAATTCCAGATTGTGTGCCACCTGTCTAAGAAGCGCTAGTATAAAACTATGTATTTGAAATCATATTGTCAGATGTAATAGTGCTGTACGTATTCTCAAGTGCAGATAAATATAAGATGAAAGTATAACATCAAAGAGGTTTTCTGTTGAAATATTAGATTTTTTTTATTGTTATTATTTGAAGATGCCCTCAGAAGCATCCTCTCTTTATAGCTCTGTATCCTGTGAGTGATGTTTTTGTTCATGTAACATGTGCCATAGGATCCCCCTTTCCCCAGCAGCCATGGTTTCCCAGATCCGCAGAAAATATCCGCACTCAGATTTCACCCTCCTATGGGATCTTGTTTGTATCCGTGCTCAATCCCAGCAGAGCTTTATCAGCTCTGTTGCATTGTTTTCTTTCTTTGTATTTGTGTGTGAGGGAGAAGTGTGTTTGTAGTACTCACACATTTTCCCCTGCTATTGTTACAGTCTGCAGTTCAAGGTGAGCCAGTCGCGGTGTTTTTGTGAGCTTAAATATTCTCCTCTTTTTGTTTTCCTGTGTTTTATTCCCTCAGAATGCCGAAATCTCCGTCTTTGAAGTGAACATCCGTTTTGTTGGAGGCCTGCTGTCCGCCTATTATCTCTCAGGCAAAGAGGTATGTAAACCTGGAGTGTACAGATGTTTTTTTCATGTTTTACCAGACTGAATATGTGCTTATGGCCAAAGGATTTGATATGCAAGCTGGCTATAATTGACAAGCTGCCTGAAGGAAGCTGGAAGCTTGTAGCTGGCATTTGTTCTCGGCGCGTTTAAAGACAGTTTCCTTGAATCTCTGTGTGAAACTGTTGGAAATCAGTGACATTTATAGTTGGCAGCACACAATAGGCCTCTCAGGAGAGCCATAGGGGCCTCAGGTCTGTCTTGTCCCGGTGGTCTGGCTGTTTGCCCAGACGTTGAGCCAAGTCAAACAAACACACACACACGCCATCCCACTTAGAGCTCGTTTTGAGATCCCGGCACATCCAGGAAGCTCTGTGCCCACTCTGCTAAATTGAAAGCCTTTTTGAAACCAAAAAAAGATGTTGGACTCTCAAGCGTGACCTGAAGCGCACACACAAAGCCCATTTCCAAGGCTTCATTGAATCAGGCTAATGCAGAACTTTGCTCATATTTCCGATCTCCCCTCCTGTAAATTAGATTTTCCCAGCAGCATCTGGCAGAATGTGAAGGATCTGATTCAAATCAGAAGAGTGGCATTTTCCGCTGATACTCAGGGCTTTCTCGTTGTGTCCTGCAGCAAATGTGCTCTCGGTGATAGTGTAAGCTTTCATTTGTGCGGTGCGGAACAGAGCTTTGTCCGGAGAGGGAACGGCTCACTGTGTGAGCTTCATCAAGCCCGTGCTTGTGCGGTTGTGTTGATGTAAGGCAGACCCTTCAGCAGAACAGACATCTCTTCCTCCTACTAGCACAGAATAGCTATAGTAGTGCTGCAGAAGAAAGATGAGTTCCTATGGGTAACGTGTTGTTTTTCCTAGAGGAATAACTCAAGCTTGAGCTTGTACGATGTTAAACAGTTGTTCTTGTATTTCATGTTTTATTAATGGTCTTGAATAGGAGAATATATGAGTAAGATATATCTTTTTTTTTTTGTTGTTAAAATTCTTTTATTCAGCAAAGATGCATTAAATTGATCAAAAGTGACAGTGAAGACATTTATAATGTTACATAAGATTTCTGTTTTATGTTGATGTTCTTCTTTTGAACCTTCCATTCACCAAAGAATTCTGGGAAAAAAAAGATAAATAAAAAGTGATGGTTTCCGCAAAAATATTAAGCAGCACAACAGTTTTTAATATTTATAATAAGTAATGTTTCTTGAGCACCAAATCAGCATATTAGAATGATTTCTGAAGGATCATGTGACACTGAAGGCTATATATATTATATATTAAATAAACATGCAGTAGTTCATATTGCTGAATAATTCAATTAATTTGGGAAATTATTGGACATTTTATTAGGCTACATTTAGAATTTCATTAAACTTGTATTAAAATAAATTTCATGATTTTTAAATTAATTTAATTAGTCACTGTTCAAACTTTATTTGAAACTTTATTCAAGATAAAATTATTGGTAACACTTTATTTCAAGGTGTCCTTTTGTCCATGTACTTACTATTATAATAACAATAAATAATGCACAATTACATGCACGTAACCCTAAGCCAAACCCTAACCATATAGTAGGTACATGTAAATAATTAATATTACTTAGTACTTAAATGTATAATTACACTGTAGCAAGGACACTTAAAATACAGTGTAGCCAAATAATTTATAACAAATGAATAAGTCTAGAATAATGTATTTCACTAATGCTCTCACATAAAGCATTCATGCCTATTGAACGCCATACAAACCCTATAGCACAATCTCTACAGTTGACACATTATAGCATCATACCGCCCAGCCCAATCCAAAGCTTTTAATGAAACATGATGACCTCTATATGCCATCCCACAACTGAGATTCTGTATGACGGGTTACACAAGATGGGTGTGTGACGAAACCAAACGCTGTCTGTTGAAGTGAATGGCTGGTTGTCAAACACCGTTTCAGATAACAGTGGAGGTCTCCGCTATCTCCCTTGTTGAGAATAGTCTAACAGCGATATAAATCTTTGAACACTACATTATTGTTCTCTCAGCAAGACGCAAGCTCGTTTCATCACCGTGTATTGACGGGGGAGGCACAACATGGTTGAATACAAAGTGGGCAGCACATAGTCCAGGACTCAAGCACAGCACTGATGAAAGTCCTTCAGTGTAGTAATCTCACACACTCAGGATAATGAGACGCCCTCCTGCCTACCTTCATAATAATGTGTGCCCTGAACTGAGAAATGTTGATTACAGGAGATAGCCATCAGGTAGCCGCTCACATTGTTAAACCACAGCGAGAGATCTTGGTAAATGTGTCTGGCTTCAAATTCCCACTGGGCTTTGGAAAATGTAATCTTTTGGAGACCAAACCTATTATTGGATTCCACGAACACCGCATGACTAAATCATCACAGGAGGTTGATGACTACGTCATCTGCATAGAGAAGACATGTTTAGGTTTTCTTGGGAGGCTTCAGATCAATATAGTTTCTACTTCTGCCAGGCAACGTGGCCGTTTCTCATTACCCTTTCGCATATACGCATGCATATAACATAAATTATATGCAATGGTGCTAAAATTGAAAAGCGGTGTGGGCTCTTTGATGAATCTTTCATCGTCTTGAGAGACAGCCTTCATGCAAAATGCTGCACATGCTCCTCAGCACAGGCTAAGCGGACGGCCGCATTCATAGACGGCTTCAGAAGCTGATGTTGTTTGCTGTGATTTAGTCCAGCGCTGGGTTTCCTCTCCTAAATGAGAGGATTAATCTCTGGCTGATTTATTCCTGCATTATTTACGCCCGGACGGTTTTCCATCATTGACGTGAGCAGCCTGGGACAGAGCCACCTGTCAGAACACAGCACTTAACTCCTTAATGGATCACATATCGATTTTCATATTTTTTTCTTGCTCTATAATTCATTTTACAATAAAATTTTTCTGGACTCCTGTTTAACGGTTAAATAAAATTGTATTAATCAAAAAGCATATCTTATTAATTAAAATCATGAAACTGATACAGTTTAACATCCATTTATTATAAGTTTAACAAACATTATATGTTTAGGGCCCTATGAAATGTTTTATTCTTTTCTCACCTTCTGTTTTATTGTAACCAAATTCTGTGTTTAAGCATGTCTAATTATTTGAATGCATAAAAACAAGTAGTATTAAGTACATTCTACTGAACAATAGTGATATATTTCTGGTATATTTCTAGTAATGTTTTCTTCAAGTTAAATCAAACTTTTATTTTGACAGGTTGCGTGAATTCCTGTTTTTTTCCTGAATTTCTGTGTGTATACGATATTGACAATAGTTTTTTCTCAAAATTAAACCGTAAAATTCTCATGAAGTACTCTCAAAGCAGTTCTGGAGATGTTCATGTATTTATGTTCTCATTTAGTGAGACAGCGCTTCAGTATGTGTAGTAAACGAAATCGCGTGTCTGCCGTTGTGCCATTCATTCACATAGAGACACGTAGAACATACAGGATTCATATTCATATGGCTTAATATTTACAGATAACCTACTAGTCCATATGTGATTTGATTTAAGCATAATTACCTACTTTTGTTTGATTTATCCACATTTTGACTAATTCTGTGACATTCCGCGTTTATACAGTAAATTCAGTTTTTATGATTGGATTCCGCGATTTTTACTTTTTATTTTTTAACATTTTATATATTGTATATAATATTTATGTACTTTATATTTAATATGGATCCTATATAAAATTTTAATATTATATATATATAT